AATTCATGAAAGAATAATAAGCAAATTAAATGTCTGTTTCTCCGAAGTTTCCATGGGAATCGAAGAGAACCTTAATCTGGAGAAAGGCATTGGCGCTTTCTAAATTATGTCTCCCAAATGATCTGGCTACACTGGCGAGGCCAAAAAACCAACCAACCCAACAGAAACCCAAACGCCCTTTAAACTTTTCCATTCACCTCTGGTAGCCACTGCAATGCAGCCAAAAATAAATAAATAAATAAATTAATTAAAGGGAAAAAAAACAACAAAAAAACTTCCACCGTGTCATGCCACCTTCCGTTTTGAATTCTAGAAAGACGGATCTGTGTGTTCCCGAGCCAGGAAGACAGTGTGCCCTGGGTCTCTCACACGGCAGCTGCATTGCACAAAGGACAAGTGCCTTTCACCTAGTTTTGCCGGTGGCATTTACAAATCTGCCCTGGACTTTGCCACATCCAGTTTTCTATCCCCAAAGCACCGCTGTGAGTCGATGGGAGGGAAAAACATTAACTTCACTTCAGCCTGAAGAGAGGTCAGCGACATGTCCGGAATCACACGGGGACCCAGAGTGCCTGCCTGGGTGGTTCCTGAATCAGTTTGAAGGTTGGCTATTTAAACAGCAGGAGCTATGTATTCATTTTGGAAGTCTCTTAGTCTGTGTTTCTAAATGGTCGACATGTAGATGAAGGGGGGAAATCATTTAGTGTCTACTCACTGCTCCCAAGACCACGAAGTGAAAATAAAACTATTCAGAAAAGTTTGTAGAAAACTTATCTCATGATAAATCTACAGTTGGGTTATTAGGAAGCTAGAAAAGTCTCTTTGAAAGATAGCTTCAGCTTTTGAAGTGGATTTCATGGAGCAGGTGAGGGCCCTCGTGACTGTCCCACCCCCATCCCAACTGCGAGAAAAATGCCCCCGAGTGGCAAGACCAACATTTAAGCCCACTTGACATTTTAAAATTTTTCTTGGGACTTCCCTGGTGGCACAGTGGTTAAGAATCTGCCTGCCAATGCAGGGGACACGGATTCGATCCCTAGTCTGGGAAGATTCCCACATGCCGTGGAGCAACTAAGCCTGTGTGCCACAACTACTGAGCCTGTGCTCTACAGCCCGCGAGCCACAACTACTGAGCCCACGTGCCACAACTACCGAAGCCCGTGTGCCTAGAGCCCGTGCTCCGCAACAAGAGAAGCCACCACAATGAGAAGCCAGCGCACTGCAATGAAGAGTAGCCTCCGCTCACTGCAACTAGAGAAAGCCCGTGCACAGCAATGAAGACCCAATGCGGCCAAAAAATAAATTAACTAATTAATTTTTTAAAATTTAAAATAAAATAAAACACTTAAAAAATTTCGTATGTTTGGGTGAAAGCTGACTTTCCAAATAGCCACTTTTTTCTGTCTTTACCTAGATGCTTGTACTGGGGACAAAATGGTAGAGGCTGAAGGGAGTACAGTGGGTGACTGAACAAGCTTCTTCCACGCTACCCTTGCGCCAGCTAATGTTATTAATCAATGCATGGCAATGATTGGTGCTAAACGAAAAGTTTCCCCTTTTTAGGTTCAGCTGTGGTTGAAGCTCATATTTTCTCCGATTCAATAGAATAATCGTAGAAGTTGGTTGGAACCACCTTGGTTCTTCCAGTTCTCTTGCCCCTGCCTCACGCTTTGCATGTGAAACAATTCTAGTTCCTTTAACAATCTGATCTCCTTCTAGTTCCCTTTTCATCCAGTTGTGTGACTCCTCTCCGTGCCTGCTGTGTGTTTTCTGATTATGTTCTCTTGGGGAGTTTGGAAATTTACCCACACCAGTAGTCCTCACCCTCCAAAACAAAAACAAAACAGCTCACACACACATCCCCAGAGTAACAGGAGGACTGGCCCACCTACCCCAGTCAGCCTGTATCGTTGATTTCATATGTATTTGTACATGTGGTCATCTGTAGGTTCCTTTGGCCACTTTATTGAGCTAATTAAATTCTAAGATAGTCTAAAGTTTACCAAATTGACCAGAAAACTCTTAGCCACCTAATATGGCAATGAAATGAAGATACATCTTTCAAGAAGACATTGGCTGTGACAATGACTAGAGAAGAAAGAAAATCCCTAGAATTCTTGACAACTTGGCGATTTCATGTTGCCCACTGTGGTATATCGCTTTCTGCTGACGATAATCACAAGAGCTGGTCCTACTGGATGTAAAAAAGGGAACTTAAGAAGAAGGAGAGGGACTTCCCTGGTGGTGCAGTGGTTAAGAATCCGCCTGCAAATGCAGGGGGCATGGGTTCAATCCCTGGTCCGGGAAGATCCCACATGCCATAGGAGCAACTAAGCCCGTGCGCCACAACTGCTGAGCCTGCGCTCTAGAGCTCGCAAGCCACAACTACTGACCCCTCGTGCCTAAAGCCTGTGCTCCGCAACAAGAGAAGCCACCGCAATGAGAAGCCCGTGCACAACGAAGAGTAGCCCCCGCTCGCCGCAACTAGAGGAAGCCCGCGCACAGCAACGAAGACCCAACGCAGCCAAAAATAAACAAATAAAATAAATAAATTGTAAAAAAAGAAGGAAAACTTTCTTTACGAGTTGAAAGTAAAAGAAGCTAGGCTGATATTAGCATCTATAGATTTTAGATATGAAAAATTATAGACAGTGGTTTCAGTTATTAAAAAGCATGAGCTTAAGCCTTTTGATCCCTCAGTTAGAGTGCTGATTCAAAAAGTGTTCAAACACAACCTTTGACAGCTCAATTTCTAAAATAACATCATAAAAGCAGGAGAGTGAACAAATCTGTGCGTATCTATACTACAGGAGAAATCCTACCACCAATTACTAAACGGAAGTGCAGGGGTCCCTGTGCGCTTGTTAAAGATCTTACTGAAAGGCTGACGGGGAGCACGTGACAGTGTCACTGAGGGGAACGAAGGCCTAGGCTTGATGAAAGATGCTGCACTTTAGAGCAGCCCAGCACAGCCTAGAATTGGAGAAGCTACCTCTTTTGCCTGTGAAATTCGCATTTGTTTTTTCCCTTTACCAATTTCATCTGACCCCTTGTGCCCTACCTTCTGCTGTCTGCACCTTTAGCCTAAAGTAAAGACACCCAAGTTATGGTGTGCATTCCAGATATTTGAATCACTAAATGTCAGTTCAGTGAGGGGAAACGTCAATTAAAACAAAAGTGGACTTCTCACAATTATTATTGTGGCTTGCGTAGGCCCAGGTTCCAAATTTTCACCCTTATCCCACCTTCCCTCTCAACCCTCACTCCTGGTTGGGGAAAAAAGGACTAGAAAGGCATGGAGCATATAATTTCTTTCCTTTCAGTTTCTCTAAGTAAACTTCCGGTTCTGGTCCAACTGTGTGTTAATATCCTGATATTAACACACAGTCTGAATTCTGAGTAGCCAGATCTCATGGCTTTAAAACTCCAACAGTTCTGATGGGTAGTTGCATCTCTTTTTTTTTTTTTTTTGCGGTCCATGGGCCTCTCACTGCTGTGGTCTCTCCCATTGCGGAGCACAGGCTCCAAACACTCAGGCTCAGCGGCCATGGCTCACGGGCCCAGCTGCTCCGCAGCATGTGGGATCTTCCTGGACCAGGGCACAAACCCGTGTCCCCTGCATCGGCAGGCAGACTCTCAACCACTGCACCACCAGGGAAGCCTGTAGTTGCATCTCTTAATGCCCACTTTCTTTTAAGATTTTTTTTTTTTCATTTGGAACATTTTTAAAGTCTTTATTGAATTTGTTACAATATGGCTTCTGTTTTATGTTTTGTTTTTTGGGCGTGAGGCATGTGGGATCTTAGCTCCCCAACCAGGGATCAAACCTGCACCCCCTGCATTGGAAGGCCAAGTCTTAACCACTGGACCACCAGGGACGTCCCTAATGGCCACTTTCAATAGTGCATATACACAGACTCTCAACTGAAGTTCTGACGGAGCAGTCTGAAATTGTGCGAAGCACAGCAACTGGCCCACTCGCTAGCGTGACCATCCATGGTCCAGCATGTTTTAATTCTACCTGCTTATTCATCAGTTGCCTGACTAAAGAATGATATTATGTCCAAATCAAATTGCTTATCTTGCATTTCACAGGACAAAGGGGAATCCTGGGTGTCTGAGTTTGTTTCCCAAAGACTTTCCATTGACCCAGTTCATATTTCTCAACAGGAAGTCATATAGACTCAGGAAATGATCGAACGTATGCAACTAAGAGCCAAAGATGATCATAGTGTGAGGTCAGATATAAAAATATACACATGCAAAGAGACAGAAATAATACATTTAGGGGCATTTTCACGAAAAGTTACCCCTTTAGAGAAGAAGTTAAAATTATACTTCCTTAGGGCTTCCCTGGTGGCGCAGTGGTTAAGAGTCCGCCTGCCGATGCAGGGGACACGGGTTCGTGCCCCGGTCCGGGAAGATCCCACATGCCGCGGAGCGGCTGGGCCCGTGAGCCATGGCCGCTGAGCCTGCGCGTCCGGAGCCTGTGCTCCGCGACGGGAGAGGCCACAGCAGTGAGAGGCCCGTGTACCGCAAAAAAAAAAAAAAAAAAAAAAAATTATACTTCTTTACCTGAATTTTCAGGTGTAACTCACTTTGTAGAATACTTGGAATACTGAAATCCTCTCTCTTTTTTATAACACAATTGGTCTTGTATTGTGTTGTATACACAATGTCTTGTCTTGTATAGACCCAGAAAAATACAAAGCGCTCAGTAAGAACGCAGCAAAATGTACCCCACAAAATCATATATTTAAAGGTAAGATTATCTTACTGATAAATTATTAGAAGTCTACTCAAATTAAGCTACAGAATATGAATGCAAAGTAGTCAGAGTTACTTTTATATTTGGCTTAATAGCTAAGAAGCTTAAAAAGAAAAGCAACATTATAACAGGACCAAACAGTGGGACAGCAGAGTCACTCGGTTTCTATCAAGTCTTCTCCCTAATATTCTGTACGAGAATATACAAGTTGCATTTATTGTGGAAGCTTCTGGCATTTGGAAATGAATGGCTGATCTTGGTTAAAGCCTAGAGGAGATATGCAGACACTGGTTCAAGATGCAATAAGATAACCGGTTTGCTCTTTGGCCTCAGATAGAATCGCCGCTGAGTAAGGGTTGTGTAGACCAGGGTTGGGAAAGAAGGCCATTTGGCAGGTAACTGAGGTAGCAGTCAGAGCAAACAAGATTGCAGCAAATGTCCGGGTAGAGACAACAACCCAATATGCAAGAATTCAGAGTAGGTTGTGGATATGGCCTTTCTTCCCCAACTGGAATAGAAGTTCCACGTGGGCAGAGATGTTACATTTTGTTCATGACAGTTATCCCCAGCTTCTGGAACAGTTCCTGGCTTATAAATATTTGATGAGTGAATGAACATAAACTAAGTTTCAGAAGACATATTTGTCCAAGGAAATTAAATTCCACAAACATCTAATGAGCACCTAAGCAGTGCTATGCTAAGTGTCCTTGTGTAATGCAGAAGTCGCTGCAGTGTGACTTGGGAAAGCATGGTTCCGGGTGGGGGGATGGGGGGAGAGAGGCGCTGATGAGATCAAGGAGTGTCTTTGGGAATACAGCCATTTGGGACGGTATTAAATGCTGGACGGTAGGAAATGCAGAAACTGGGACCCAAATGCCAGGCCTGACCTTGCGTGCCTGGCGCCCGCTCAGGGCACTTTCCAGCAGGTGCTCAGTAAATGCCTGTGGATCCAGGAGCTGGCCATAGGGATGCAGGGAGGCATCCAATCCAGCCTCGGGATCAGCAAGCTGCCAGGACCAGCCTGGGACTCGGCTCAGGCCTTCCTCTGTCTCCACCTCACTCCCTTGAATGACCAGGGCCAAGTCCGGAACGGGGACTGTCAGAGTGAGGGCTGAGGACTCGTGCCCCAGAATTAAATGTTAAAATGTCAAACCCCAGGGCCCTACTTGAGACTTCCTATACCTTAGAAGAGGGACCCAGAAACTAGCACTGTAATCAAGTATCCAGGTAAGTCTCACACACACCAAAGTTTGGATTCTACTAAAGTAGGATTTCGTAGACGAGAAAAAAGATCTAGTAAGAATTCTCTCTCAAATATCCGCATTAGTAACTGAAATCCCACGGGCATGAGAAATTAATATTTTGGGTGGTTCCTGTGGACCAGGGACTGTTTAACATGCTTTTCACATATAACTACTTAATATTCAATAATTCAAAGGGGTAGTTTTATTATATCTATTTTTAAGGAAACAAGCTCAAGGATAGTAAATAACTTGCCTAACACTGCACAGCAAGTACCTAGTGGGAATCCAAACCAGGTCTGTTTAATTCCTGAGACCACAGGCACCCCTATGTCTTGCTGCATCTTGGGCAAATGCAGAATGGAGGGAATCCGGACATTCCATAGCGCCTGTCTTTAGGGAATGTACGCAGACTCAGTTTCTCATTGGTTGAATCTGTCAAGGTGAATTTCTGGAAATCAAGATTTGAGGTTTTAATTATACATGCATTAGGTCTAGACAGAGAGTGTCTAAACCACCTGTGACTTTAATAATCCTTATAAAAAGGCCAAACACCAGATGAAGTGATTTGTCTGGGGCAGAAAACTTGCGCATAGGACAGACAAATACCTTAAGAGGACAACAGGGGAGGTGTAGACCGTTACAACTGACACTGGCGCTCTGCTCCAAGTCTTCTCAGATTTCAAAGAGAGCCCAAGGGACTTGCCTGGTGGTGCAGTGGTTAAGAATCCGCCTGCCAGTGCAGGAGACCATGTTCGATCCCTGGTCCGGGAAGATCCCACATGCCGTGGAGCAACTAAGCCCATGCGCCACAACTACTGAGCCTGTGCTCTAGAGCCCAGAAGCCAGAACTACTGAAGCCCGCGTGCCTAGAGCCCGTGCTCTGCAACGAGAAAAGCCATCGCAATGAGAAGCGGGCGCACCGCAATGAAGAGTAGGCCCCGCTCGCCGCAACTAGAGAAAGCCCGTGAGCAGCAACAAAGACCCAGTGCAGCCAAAGAAGAGAAGCCAAAAGTCCAGCTTTCCCTGTGAAATATCCTGATTTTTATTTTTCATTTTATTTATTTTTAAAAATTTATTTGTTTATTTTTGGCTGCGTTGGGTCTTAATTGCTGAGCGTGGGCTTTCTGTAGTTGCTGTGAGCAGGGGCTACTCTTCGTTGCGGTGCACGGGCTTCTCACTGTGGTAGCTTCTCTGGTTGCGGAGCACAGGCTCTAGGTGCCCGGGCTTCAGTAGTTGCGACGCGAGGGTCAGTAGTTGTGGCTCGTGGGCTTAGTTGCTCCGCGGCATGTGGGATCTTCCCGGCCCAGGGCTCGAACCCGTGTCTCCTGCATTGGCAGGCAGATTCTTAACCACTGCACCACCAGGGAAGTCGCCTGGTTTTTAAATATAGATAACGAATTCAAAAGTTTAAAACACACTTAAAAGGGCAAACAAACAGGTCTGGAAAACAAGGACGGGCCCATGCAGCGCCAGTCTACAACCTCTGGTCTGGAGCTCCCTCCCAGAGACTTAAGCTACATGGAGTAACTGGGATATTAATAGTTCCGTGAAACGTGCGTCTGTGCATCCTGTTTACGTGAAGGTACACCCTATCACTGCTGCTGGTTTAATGTGATAAAACGTGCATCACATCGTCTTTGACTGCGTGCAGGTGTATGAGACACAGCCTGAAGGCCAAATTTTTGTAAACTGAATTGGGCCTTTCTGTTTACTTACCACTGTTGGGATGCCTCATTCTGGTTTTGGCGTGATCTTCCATTGGCATTGGCCAATTTAAAATTAATGATTCGCTGGCTCATTTTAAAGGAAAATGGAGTAAATTCTCCGGGGGGAAGAGCCTTCAGTTTTAGTATGCACCCCCTACTGCATCTGCTTTATTTTTTTAATTTAATTTTATTTTTTAATATTTATTTATTTGGCTGTGCCGGGTCTTAGTTGCGGCATGCGGGATTTAGTTCCCTGACCAGGGATCGAACCCTGGCCCCCTGCATTGGGCGCAGGTAGTCTTTACTGGACCACCAGGGAAGTCCCTGCATCTGTTTAATATTAATTGACTGCATTTGGAGATTTCCTAAGAAGAACTTATTGGTACTTAAGCATTAAAACTGCTCTGTTTTAGAGCAGAAATTCTCTCTCACTTACCGAGCTGATAATGCGATTCGCTTCATATGATGTAATGATACACGTTCGGAAACAGGAAGTTTAGAACAACTAATAGGGGTTTTACCCCTATTATTTAATGATTTAAAATGTTAAGTTACGTACGACTATGAACCAGCCAATGAATTATTGTTGTTTCTAACACTTCCACGGTCTAAATAACACTTCACTCTTTTGGTATTGGCAGAGCCTTAGGGAATATTTTCATCTCTATTTTAAGACAGCGTTTCTTTTTGCAACGTGTATGCATTTATGTCGTGTTATCAAGTGAGGCAACGTCAACCGACCAAAGCAGAAATCATCAAATCAACTGAACACAATGTCACAGCGTCACCCGTCTAATAATGGATGTTAAACGCAGTATAGACGCACAAGCATCAGTGTGAACGGATTAAAAAGGCACTTACAAGGATGACCCGCAAAGACTCCTAGTTTCAAGACCCAACAAAAAGCCTCCAGGAAGTGAAGCCGGCAGGTTTTAATCTCACTTATTTTCATGGCTATGTTTTTTTTATTGTAGTTTTCCACTGTAAAACAAAAGCGCATCAAAGGAGTCTGGTGGATTTTGGAGAAGAAAAACCTCCTCTCTCCCGGAAGTCTGACGGAGCCCAGATCCCGGACTGAGCGGCCGCGGCCACGGGGAGCGCCCCTCGCGCCCCGCGCCCACCAGCCGGCGTGCTGCTGCCCCCGCCGCCGCTGCTGCCCAGGCCAGGGCGGGGCGGGCTGCGCTTGTTTTTTTCTTTTTTGGGGGGGGGGGGGGGGTGTGTTTCAGGAAAGCTCCGCGGTGCTGACCTCATCTTCCAAAGCAGCGCGTCCGCTGCCCGAGAGCGGTGGTCGCAGTCAGCGCCCGCCGGTCCTCCGGCCGCCGGCAGGGCTCCGCACCCTCCCCCTCCTCTTACCCCGCACTTCCTCCTTCCTCCGCCCCCTCCCCTCCCCCACCCTCCTACCTCCCTTCCCCCTCTGCCCCGCCCCTCCCCATCCCCCCACCTTCTCCTCCTCCCGTCCCCTCCTCCCCTCTCTCCCTCCCACCCACCCACCAATTCCTTCTCCCACCTCCTCCTTGCCCCACCCCGCCCCTCCCCCACTCCTCCTACCTCCCTGTCTCCAACTTCCCCCCACTCTTCCCTTCCCCCGCCTCCTCTCACCTCCCACCTCCTCCTTCCTCCGCCTCCTCCCACCCCATCCCTTTCCCCTTCTCTCCCCTCCCCCGGCCCCCAGGGCTGCGGGCGGCTCCCTGGTTTCGGCGTCGCACACACGTCTGGGCAGAGTGTGGTTCCCAGGCTCTCGACCTGGAATTCAGACGGGAAAGTTTGCTGGCAGCTCCAGCGCCCGGGCCGCCCTCGGGCCCGGCCTGTCAGCGCGGCATTCACACAGGGGCGGGTGGCAGCGCCCTCCGCTTGTCTGCTCACTTTCACGACGATTCTGCCCTTCAAGTTCAGCACGGATTAATGAGCGGCAGTACTTTTTGTTTTAGAGAAGAGAATGAGGGAGCCGAATGGGACCGAGAGGGAGAGAGGCGAGGGGGAGGCACGAGAGCCGGGGAGCAAGTTGGCGCCGGTGGGCTGGGGATGGAGGGTCCTTTAGGGCGGAACTGCATCGTTGGATTCCGCGCAGAGGTAGGTGGGTGCAAAGACAAGAGGCCGGACAACGGAGTCCCAGGCAAAGAAGTGTGTGGTATTTCTGCTGCCCGAAATGAGGCCACACAGTCTTGTTTCCCACTTCTTCAGACTCAGTAGATCCAGATCGGATCGCGTGAGTCTGTTTTATTCCCATTTGCACATGAGGGCACTGAGGCAGGGACAGGCTAAGTGACTCGGACACCGCCACACAGCTCTTAGTGGCCGACCCAGGACTCAAGCCTACATCTCTCTGACTCCAAACCCCTATTCTACTGTGACCTAGTATTTGCTGGTTCAGACAAATGGCTCAGCTTCAGCACCGATTGAATCCATGCCTTGTGTGGAGCACAGGCAGGTAGATTTGCAGGTAGGTATGTGCTCAGAATTCCTCCAGACTTGCATTTCACAAGGGACATAATCAGTGCATCTCTACCCCTCAGGACGTTGAGGAGGCCTTTCATTAGCAGGAATCTGAATTCCTAGACTTTCTCCAGAGGGAGTGTGCTTAAGGAGCTGTTGTTTCCAGTTAACCCGAGTCTCCTTGTGGCTTATTAGGGAGATTCCCTGGGCCCTAGGCCCATATCCCCGGTGCAAAATTGCTGGACTATCTAATAAGAGTTTTTAAATCCCCCAATTCCCATTCTTCTACAAAGGAAATCTACGATAGTGAGGGCGGGGAGACCAGCAAGTGAAGTTAAACTTGAAGGTTTAATGGCACTCTTGCAACATACCCAGAAAGTTCTGCTGGGCCATGAAGAACCCCTGGGAAAAACTGGGATTTTGGCCCCTTTGGTATTTTACAAACTGTTTACTCTGGAGACTAAGGAGATGGGTAGTGATGGTGACGGGACATTTGTGGTCCCCCAAGTATGTGTGCCCCTTTCCTGTTTATCCCCAGCAAATACAAAACACACCTGGTTCACTTAGGTTCTTGGATAGTAGTTTCTTTTCAGAAGATTTCAAGATACCACTAAGGATGGTTTGGGCTTCAGTTGCTATTTTTACTTCTACTTAATATCTACACATTCATCAGTCACCAGAACACACCCTAATCGTCACCCTAAAAACGAGGTAAAGATTTGACAAGTCTAGCCTTCCAAGAAAGTCCGAGGGAACATGTTTGACACATGTTCCAATACAGTGCAGGGGAATCGGTGTTTAAGATGCTGTGTTGTGGAATAATACCTCAGGGTGCTAGCTGATGGTGCATTCATTCCTAAGCCTCACGCAGCTCCCATATTGACCAAATCCCCCACAGGATCACTAGGAAGTTCTCCTGATTATCCTTTCTCCTTTTCTCCAGGCTAAGAGCTGAAGCCACCAGATATGAGGATTGGTACAACCTGACACCCAAGCCTTGTTTTTGGGGTGGGTGGGTGCTGTGGTGGGCCTGTGGCTCCTTGGGCAGGGAGCCGGTGCCCAGGCTGGCTGTGGCAGTAGCGTGCACCCCGGCCACGTGAGGGGCGTCGGTGGATCTGGGCAGCTGCTCCACAGCAGAATCGGGCTATTGCCTCCAGGTGGACGGCTGCCCTAGTCTTTTTTCATGACAGCCCATGGGGGCCTGCGGGCAGGCTTTCCTTGTTTTGAGGAGGGACCCCTGGAGGGGGGTCAGAGAATCTCCTGCTTCTTGCCAGGCACCCTGAAGAGGAGAAGAGAATCAGGGGGGTCAAATGAATCTGACAACCCACCTCCCTTTGCAAGTAATGTTGCCTCAGAGCTGCTTCCTTATCTGGCCTTGGAGCCTTTGCTGCTCCTGGGCTCCCCTGTACCCTTGACTGCCCGGGCGTGTCTGCCACCGCCGTGCCCTGGGCCCCAGACCCTTCCCGGCCATTGTGCCTCTGCTGGATCCCATTCCTAGGGAATCCAGAGGCAAGTCCAGGTTAATCTGCTCCGTGAACAGTGGGCAATGTAGGTGTTTGCCTTTTCACCAGGACCATCGACAGACAGGACTTGGATGCCAGGGCTGGCTCTGGGACAGGGAAGCTTCAGGCCTTTGCTGGAGCAAAACAGTGAGGGAGGTACTCGGGGTTTCAGCACCTCTTAAATCATCCCGGAGAGAGCGAGCGAGCCACTTACTTCAGCACAACGGCCCTGCCGCCGGCTCTGTCACAAGAAGATGAACTACAAGTAATGAAATCAAGATGAAGTTATGTGTAAATCTTTCCAGCTTACAAAGATTATAGAAAGTGGAAGATGAAAGGGATATTAAAGACCATCTACTTCTACCTCCTCGTTTCGCGGCTGTAACAGCCGAGGCCCAGGGAGGTGTGTGGACTAACGGACGGTCCCACAGCGGCTCCGAGGCAGGAGTTGCACCAGCATTCTGCGACTGTTGCACGACATCCTTGCTGTTCCCCAGTCCCAGGGCATCTTTCACCTTTTGAAAACAGGCAGAGAGAAATCCATCCTCCGGCATCTTCACCTCCCTCTACGTTTATCGTTTCCAGCTGCTAAAAACTGGCATTTTAAAAAGTGGGTCATCCTGCCGGTCACTGAGGGTCAGGGCTCTGGTGAGTGCTGATTGAGAGGAGGGAGAACAGGCAGGTGGTTGGAAGCAAAACAGACAGCCTCCCGTCTGGCGCCTGGGGATTCTGTCGCTCGAGTCCCTGGGTGTGTACCCTCAGCAAATACTAACCCACAGAGTCAATTGCCAGCTCCAGTCATCTGTACATTTGCCCTCCGGGAATGTAAAGCTGGAGGAAATGCCATTTCCTAATCTCATTGGCCTTGGATGGAAAGATGTTTTTGCCCAGTAGAAGCCTTCAAAGAGCGCATGTGTATTTAGGACCTGCAGTGCTCTCCAGGATCCTTTAAGGGACCGGCTGTCAAGAAAAACCCACAGATGCTTCTGGCTTTGTCTTTGCCTCAGTTAAGACCTTTGGGTTGCAGGTCATCAACTTGAGTTGGCTGAAGTGTGTAGATAAAGCCGTGCGTCATCAAGTCCGAGGACGGATGGCTGACAGGCACCCGGGCAGGACCCCTCTCCAGCTTCGTCTCTGCTTCCTGTCTCTCGCTCTGCAATCGACTTTCTTCTTCTTGGTGGGCAGCTAGACTGGGTGGGAGATGATCTGCTATGATTACCACGTTTACATCTCCTCTCCTGCAGAGATTAGCCAGGCGACTGGCCGTCCTCAGCCCAACACCGAATTCCCAGGAGGGAGGATGTGGTTGGCCCAGCCTGAGGCAGGTGCACAACCTGATCCAAACAAGGTGGCTGCAGGTAGGGTGCCCCAAGACAGACTGAGGGGCGGTTCTCCCTGACAGGAGAATGAAGTGCGGTGGGCAGACATTTCCCAAGGGTGACTATCCTAGGCTTTGATCCAATTAGCCATTGCTATAGAAAAGTGGTAGGTGCAGGTGGGAGTCTGGGATAAATCAGACACTCTAGAGACTTAATTTGCCTAAATTCTTGAGTGACAAATTCTCTATCATGTAACTCTGTCTTTTTAGAGAGCTGTTTCCTTGCAGTTCAACCCCTGTCCTCTGGGCTCTAAGAAAGCCCATTCAATCAACCTGAGGAATGTCTTAATCTTTTATGTGGTTATCATATATATTTTCATCCTGTTGAAGGGTGTTAGCTGGATAGATACTGAGAATGAAATAAAGGTGTAATATTACATTTGTATGGTTGATATATATAGGTATGTGCATATGTATATATTGAGTTGGACAAAAAGTTCATTCGGGGTTTTCCGCACAATGTTACAAAAGCCCCAAACGAACTTTCTGGCCAACCCAATATATACATACACGTACACATACCTACATTTTTATTTATTTTTTATTATTATTTTTAATAGTACTTTTTAAAAATGCATTTTTTTCTTTTTAATTTATTTATTATTTTTGGCTGCGTTTGGGTCTTCGTTGCTGCGCGCGGGCTTTCTCTAGTTGCAGCGAGCAGGGGCTACTCTTCGTTGCGGTGCGCGGGCTTCTCATTGTCGTGGCTTCTCTTGTTGCGGAGCTCGGGCTCTAGGTGCGCGGGCTCAGTAGTTGTGGCACACGGGCTTAGTTGCTCTGCGGCATGTGGGCTCTTCCCGGACCAGGGCTCTAACCCGTGTCCCCTGCATCGGCAGGCAGATTCTTAACCACTGCACCACCAGTGAAGTCCATACCTACATTTTAAAACATCCAACCTACTTCCAGAAAGGATTGGAGCAAATTCTAATAAAAACAGAAGAAATATGACGAAAAACCATTAACATTAAAAAGATGTAAAAGTCAAGTAGCAAACTGGTTGCAGTTGAGCAGAGTGGCAGAGATGGACAAACTCTGATTCCTGCC